ACATTCATCAATCCATCTTCATCGTCATTAAGGACTTTTAACTTTATTTTCACGTCAATAACCTATTTGCAGGTGATCTCCACTTCAATCATGATAAACTCAGGCGAAGTCTTAACGAAAAGCACCAACGAAACAACAGCTGTGTCAGTTCCTCGGACTTCTACGGCTGCAACTATCCCGTTGAAAAACACCGGTTTAGTTCCGGGGACTTGATAAGACCCCTCGTCGCTAAAGAACTCAATTTTGACATTGATCAAAAGGAACAAGCGGATAATCTGTACAATTCCATCGAAGGACCAAATCTGAGCGACTACTCTTCCGCCGACGCTAATACTAGTATAAACTCGGAGCGGGCCACGGAAAGCCCTTCCAGAAACGTCGAAGAAATGTACGCAAAGGTGATAAAGAAAGCTAAAACGAAAGAAGAGACAAAAAAACTCAAAGACTCCAATGAAGAGAAATTGAAGTTTCGCGGGGACGATCCCGGATACGAGACTATAGATCGAAAACAATCCGTTCACGGATACGAAACGATATCAAGGAAACGGAAGAGCCAGAACCAAGATCCCGGCTACGAAACGGTAAAAGAAATGCACATCGGACAAAACTTCACCAACAATAACCTCAAACACTTGGAGTCCGACAGTGGACCGAATAGCATCATCAGCAATGACGCCGGCTACGAGCTGATAGCCAAAACAGACAACAATGCGTCGGACTCCGACCCGAACTACGAAGTTTTAAGGAATAACCCACCGACCCCGCCATACGCGACCATAAGTTCCAATTACAAAGTACAAGCGACGTATTCCACAGTGAACAAACGAACGGGCAAATACAGCAGTCTGCCAAACAATAACGAACCGAGTGTCGAGCCTAACTACGAGTCCATGACGAATGACCCGATATACACGACTGGGAGCGAATCGGACCCCAACTACGAGTCGGTGAGGCCTAAAGAGCCGAATTACGAAAGCGTAAACGCCCAAGACCCGAATTACGAGTCTCTCAGGGGAAAAGACCCAAAATATGAATCGGTCCGGTCGAAAACTCCAGACACGACTCGGTCCGGTCCAAAAACGATCCTAACTACGAAAGTGTGAAATATTTTGAGCTTTCGAAGAAGGAGCCGCCTTACGAGAAGGTCGATATGGGTGAGAATTCTGGCATCGAAAGGTCCGATTCCTCTGCGGGTTACGAGAGGATAAATATATCGAACAATAGGGAACCGAAGAGTATTAACAATAGTGATTGCACCGTGAGTGATTACTTCCAAGTTTAATACCAAAATTTAGTATTTTTGAACATTTACCTGTGTAATTTGAGATTGCTTTTATTTATTCATGCGAATTTTGAATATTACAATTAAGAATGTCGTTGACGATATTGTTAATTAGCCGGTTAGAACGAATTGTAGGTAAACGGAGGAGTAATCTGAGAAGTGGTAACAGTTTTATTCATTGACGGGTTGAGTTCCTATATTCATTTTATTAAAAAGCGGCCTCGTTATAGATGAAAAATTGAACATTAATCTAATTTTGAATATAGAATGTCGCGTCAGGAAACAATAAGTCTTATGAAGTACGCCATAAAGATTAATTTCCTTTAAAGTCCTATTAAACAGGTCATGAATTTGAAGGTTGTATTTGTATATAATTTAACGATAAATAATAAAATTAATATATGAACCACCCAAATATATGTATTAAATACAGTCACAATAATTTGGAATGGAAATAACATTCCAATAGAAAATTCCTAGCGAAACCCGTATAGGTGACAGACCGACTTAACAATCCTATTCCTTATATATCTGTGATATGTATTGTAACACAATTTTTCATTCACCCGAAAGAAATTGGAAACATTTTAAAATTTTGTAATCTCCATTTTTGTGTGTTCGTAATTTTAACACCAACTTTTTTATAATTGTACAACGCGATTGTAAATACCGCTATTTATTAGTATATAGACTATATTTAGTAAGACACATAGTGTCCGTAAGTCTGTCCAGTCATACCCACATTAGCAATAATCAAATATGTAATGCGCATACGACAAACTTTATGGCATTTCTAAATATTCCAAAAGAACACTAAAATACACCAAGGGATGTCATGTCTTTATATAGATAACGTTAAATATAATATAGATATTTTTAATTAAAGCATAGAATGCTATTCTTTAAAAAAGTTTCACTTTGAATTAATAATCTTCTTCGTTCTTTTGAAGTCGGACAAAAATTAATAAAAGACTCGATCCTTTTTCTCCGCACGTTGTGATGGTTTTTTTATATTTGCCTAACCTTGGAGTTGGTGCTGCCCTACCACAAGAGCCTTCAGTGATTTTATATCTACTCAACATCGGCTTGGGCTAATATTTAATGTTATATTTAACTAATAGTGTGCTAAAACGTCTGAATACGGTTTAGTAACAATTTTTTTAAATAATATGAAGACATCTTGTCTGCGAAGACTTGTCAACCAATAAACCTTTTTTAATACTTTCAATTAAGGTAAAATAACAGTAAAATTTAGATGGTAGAAATCGTCAAAAGTTTTACGCGCTTCAAAGACCTTTAAATCTTACTTTCACAGAACATAAGAAAATTATATTTGACCTGGCTGAGCTGAACTTTACCGATCAACTCCTGCCAAGAACTCTATTGTCATTTTAAAAAAAAATGATTTTTAAATATTCAACTTTTAATTCAATACAGCCTTGGTAATTTTAATCTTATTCACACTGTACCCTAAGCCCATAGTGTCGTCACATAAACGTTTGCACGTACTCAATACATTAATGTCACTGAACACTACTTCTAATCGTGCGTTAAGGGGCTAAAGTTACTAGCGAGATGACATTCCAAAAAAACTTTGCGATTATAAAACGATTGTATTACCAGAAGTAACGTCGTCTTTTATTTCTTAATTTTTACTATTTCAATACAAATCCATAAAGTTTGTCACGTTATTGTAATAGTGCCTTGTAGACGCACAAAATGATTCTTGCATTTGGTATGGTCATTCCCAATTCTCTTAATGCAATTATAAGTATTATTCGCAATGGTGATTCTAATATATTTTCTAGTTAAGTTTTGTTTTAAGAATGTTATGTTTGTTACTTTTTATAACTTGAAAGTTGAGTGTTTCCTTTATTGCCAATAAGTGCATAATTATAGTACAGTACCTGAGAGAATTATTAAGAACTGATTGTGCTAAATAGGTACATTATAGTCTATAGGTACTTAGGAATCACACAGTACATTTTACAACTTTGAGTTGTTTTTTTTCAGACTTAAACATAATTTAATGCTGTATGTCACAATAGTTATATATAAAGCAACATAAACTTAATAGTGACTATTCTTATAAGTTTAACTAATCAATTCTGTACTTATGTCATATTTATAATAATGTAATCATTCCAAAATATTACACAAAACAATGTCATTAACACATATTATCAAAATACAAGTATAAATGCCATATTCTATAAATTGTCTTTTCTTTAAAAAATCCTCGCTAACTAACAATTTACACTTGTATGTATGACTATGTAGACGGATTTTTTAAAAATAAGTAAGTATTTTTATGTAGGACGTATTAGGCCGGGAGATAGTGACACAAAATAGTGGGTGATTTGTAAGTCCAGTAAGGCGGTTCTTCAGGGGTCTTATATTACGCAATCAAAAAAAAAAAAATGATTGTCGTACCTCCCACAGGTATGGCATTATCAGACTTCTATTTATGATCATACAGGAATGTTGAAAAAAAATTTTTAGGCTGGTACGAATCGTTTGGCAAAAACGTTAGTCGAACTCGTCGGATTAAATACGAAAGTCAAACGATTTGTTTCACAAAAATTCTAGTATTTTCCGATAGTCCATAAAAAAATAAGAGGTGGTAGTCATGCTATACTTCTCCGGTGTGACTTACAGCCCGCCATACCGAAGCGAATGCGTTAATTTAAAAAAAACAACCGTTTGTACCAGGCTAATTTTTGCACAGTTAATCATCGTCGTGCAGCCATTCACGAAAATCACCATGCCATACTTTTCGGACGGTTCCAAATGGCCGCCATAGCGCCGAATTTTTTTTTCGCCACCTCCCACAGGTATGGCATTATCAGACTTCTATTTATGATCATACAGGAATGTTGAAAAAAATTTTTAGGCTGGTACGAATCGTTTGGCAAAAAAAAGAAGACCCAAACTACATAAATAAATGTTCAAAACAATTCAACATTGCAATAATTTTAGTTTAGCAGAGTACTTCCCAGAAAAATTAGTAGGTGTGAAAGAGCAAGGTGAACAATTACACTAAGATATGGAAAAAAATACCAGAAAAGATAGAGCGCTTAGAGATGACTACTGTTAGACGCTTTAGAGAGTCCTTCAAGAGAGAGGGGGCCTACCATGAGCCCTTATTGCGAGCCTATTAAATATACAAAAAAAGTAAAGTAAGGTAAAGTGTAAGAGATTATTTGTAAAATGTTAAGAAAAAAATCAGACACGTTGGGCCTTAGGGTAAGACTCAGAATCGTGATTACCTACCTACGTCAAAAATGGATTGGATTTTGACATACGGGAAATATAGTTCGCGTTACGAACTATATAATTTCCCGTATCGTATAGTCTCGTTTCTTAAATTTTAATCTCATCCTTAAGCTCTTTGGTTGTACTTGGTGTGTTAAAATCTTAAACACATCCATAATATATTGTCTGTTGGTACAGTGAACCTGTGGTAAATATTTTCTATATGACAAATACGACTTCTCAAATGTCAACTTTCAGCGGTTTTATAGTTTCTGTTTAAATTTGGTAAAACATACAAGAACTTTAAAAATGTATATAAAAAAGTTATCAAGTATTTATTGAGTGCATTTTTTCATACAAGGATAATTTTTGGTTAATTTTAACGGACAATACGAACTGATAATTTAAGTTTTGAACTAAAATTTGGTTATATTTTTACGGATACCAGTAGGCGCACGCCGGTATGGGAGACAAAAATGAAATATTTTCAGAGAGACTCGTTAAGGCAGTTATATGGGATATTGCCCTTCAAACTTTTCTTGCTACGCTATTAGTGTTTATAATTCAAATTGATGTAATACATCCGTTATCATGGATTACATCAACATTAGAAGACATCATAAGCTGGAAGATGCTTCTCAACGTTATCCTTCTTGGATTAGTTTCATTCTTTCAAGCTTACATTTACGGTAAATACTACACAAGCCCCGTGCCAAAGTATTTTACAAGATTTTCAATGTTCCTAAATATCTTTACAACACAAAATCTTGTGTTTACTCTTCTATATGCTTTAAATGGATATTTTACTCTGATTTTGTATTCATCTCTAGCTAAGAGTAACTTCAATGTTTTAAAAAAGATGTGTGAAGACAGTGATGGACAGTGTCTAAATGAGCAGAGTCTCTTTTTGCAACTGGGAGGAATGTGGATAGGACTGTTTTATTTTCTTAGTGCACACATTTTTAATAAAACTGTGTTGACATTCCCACATATTTATCAAGACAAATTTCAGCAAATGAAACTGATCATTGCAAATGTAGTAGCAACAGGATTTCAGAGGTCTATGAAACCAGTTGGTTATTTCTGCATGTTTTACTATTTTTGGGGTAACAAACCAAGGAGTGTGGTCTCAGATGTGTACAGTATTTACTTAGAAGATCCACCGCTAGATAATATTATTAACATGTTGGGATCTGGTATTTGGATTGGACTATGGTTTTATGCAAGTCTGTTTTTTATTTCTGTTAATGCTATGAGAGCAGTATTTAATATAGTTCTTACAGAACCAATGGTTTTTTCTATAGAATCAGATAAAAGCTTGACCCTTTGTAGTGCATTGGCTCAGAAGTCACAATTCTCTGGATTTCTTGGAGCACAAGACTTTAGAATTCTTGCAATGACAGATCATTCGAGAAGACTTCAGATATTTACCCTTTCCCAGCCAGGTGGTCATCCTAGAAACTGGAATGGTCTCTTAGAGAATAGTTTAATTATAATAAAAGAATTTAGCAATCAGTTAGAAGCTATTAATTCTGATAGCAATGTAAATGGAATAAAAGATGTGAGTAAACGGAACCTCTTTAATGAATCTCCAAAATCATCACCCATTGGATATTCAGGATCATTACGCAACATGGCTTCATATCCTCAAGCATTGGATATAAAGAATATTCAGGAAAATAAAGAAGAAAACACATTTGTTATTGCGATTAAGAAAGAGTTGAATAATTTTGTGCAGAGATTGTGCCAGAAACCAGGCATTCATTACTTCTTTGGAGAATTAACAGACACCAAGTTGAAATTCATTTTGCTGCAGGCACAGCCCGTCATGTGGATCTGTGAGGGTTTAGCTCATATAGTAGCATATTCACTGAAGGAAGATAAATATGGAGTTGTGCAAAATGATCTACCGATAATTCTATCTGCTTTAATAAATTTAAAACAGAACCTAGAAAAATTGTCTAAGCCTGGTCTCATACCAAGGAAACAGATTTTGAATGATAGTTTTGCCATTAGATCAAAGACAGCTATTCTGTCCGTGGTCAAAAGAAGCATTTATAAAATTGTAATTACATTTTCTAAATACATTCATGAAATACCACTAGACCCGGATGTTCAATTGGCAATTCAGCCATTTTTAGTTTGTAAAGAACCATAATAGTGTTTGTATTTAAGTATAATTAAATTATTTTTGTACTGCCTGTTATTTAAAATTGCATTACCTTTAAATAAAATAATACAAAGACATCTATCACATTTATTAAATAATCTTCACCATATAATACTAATAAATCACATCTCAAAGAGATGAAAAGTTGACCTATTTTACATAACCAGACTTCACCTAATAAATTTCTATTTATGTAGACAATTATTTTATTTACTTTAAGTAGAACAATTCTCCTATTAGACAATCATATATAATCATATTAGAGAAGAGTGTCTTCATCTCTTAAATCGCCACTTAAAAGTGTATGTTGGCTGGTAGCACCCAGCAGAGCAGTTCGTTCAGCTGAAGAAGTTACGGAGTCGCAACTTAAAGATGCTGAAACAATATATAGATTAAAAAATATATATATATATATAGGTAGACATATGAAGAATAAAAGACTAGATAAGAAATGCAATAGAGAAAGGAAAACAATAACATTTCAGAAGCATTTCACGAGATGTGAGAATATAAAATTGTGTTCTTGGCTTGACTCTAAAAATATGTTGTTTGTTACTTTATATGAAATACTTTTTTTTAACTTAATGTAAAATGTAATATATGGGTAGACATGGCCCAAACCCCGTGTGTTTTAAATACTTAAATAATTTTTCTTGTACTTAAATATTAATTTACTAATTACATTACTACAAAATCGAACCTAAGGAGTATATAATTATAAATCAGTAAAGCTCTACGTACAATAATCTCGTGAAATGCAGGAAAGCAAGCGCAAGAGTGGGTAGGAGTAGGAAAGAGTCGGGGGTAATAAGGGTATTGCGGGTACATACGAAGATCGTTTTACCATCGGGGCTGGCGCGCGGCGTGGCAGCCACCGACCGCGCGCCTGGAGATTCCGACATAGAAGCTTGGAGGCTGTAGCTCTCTCTGAAAATATAAGGGTCTTTACCAACTTACGTTTATTAACGCCCTGTACAAGCGATAGTAGTATGTGTACGACTACCCAATTTAAAAACCAAAAGTTACATCATGCAATAAGTGGACGGATCACTGTTGACCGATCTCTTTTAGCCAACCTTATAAAATAATGTTTAAATTATATCATTGATGTTCCGAATTGGAAAAATTTATCTATGTTTACCTGTATCCAGAGGTAGATGAGGTCTGTGATATCTCGCTGTCATAAGATGTATCTGTATGAGTGGCGGTAGGTGGTAATAAGCCCGGCCACGCCCGACGAAGGGGTGTAGATTCAGGTCCCGGAGAAGAACAAGAGTCAGATTCGAGTCTGATAGGAGCCAGCTGGAAATTTGTTTATATTAGGACATTTAATGAGACAATCCAAAGAAAATTACAATCGCATCAGTCATACTATATATATTTTATAGTAATTCATCAATAATTTCTTAGTTTCAAGGTGATCTTTTAATGTTTCTCCTTTAACTTTTTGTTCTGTATTCCCTGATCTGACCTTCAGGTAATATGGACCAGGTGTCTCGACCTAAGCAGAAAATTTTTTATATGAAAAGTAAGTACTAAAGTGATAATAACATAAGTCTTACACAAGGGTTGATAAAAAACGTAACCAACTCCAAAATACAATAAAAAATTTGAAAAAAATGTTTTTCTTTTAAATTTTGAGTATTTAAAAATATTTAACAATAAAAGAAAATGTAAAAAAACTATATTTGTTAATTTTAAGTTTAGTTATTGAAGATTTTAAAAACGAAGTCATTTGGTAACCCATTAATTTTTGATTGTGTAACTAAGAACAAAATTAAAATAAAAACGGTTGCCTTCGCTTAGAAAAAGTTACACTTTCAAATAATAAAAATACCCACGTCAGGTTTAGAATTCCTACTGCGCCGAAATTTAAATGTCTTCTTGGAAGAAGGTCCATGAGACCTTTGCAGACGAGGTCTTTCATCATCCAAAGGATCTTCTCCGCAGGAGTCACCCATTGATAATGGTGATAGTGGTGTTTGCGTTGTCTCCCCTAAAACCACAAGTTTATGAAAAATTAAACCGACTAAAATATGTCCATATTTATCTATACAGTGTAAAGTCATTATAACGAATTTCTAGGGACCGAGCATTTGTTTTCGTTATAAGGAGGGAAGAGAAAAAAATAACAAATTGATCCAATTACAATAATTTATATATATATAATAGATGACGATGGTGCGTTTAATAACTGAGACCAAAATTTCAATTTGTAATCTAAGAATAATGGCATACGTGTTAATACAATAATTAACAATAACAAAGCCGAGAAGGCTGTTTATGACCTCAGGTGTCTTTCTAAGAAATTTCGGCACCTCAATAGGTTAGTTTTGTAAGCTGATTATAAAAACAATAAGGTACACTTAAGTATGTTGTTGATGTCTAAATATGAATATATTTCTTCGTTATAGAGAAAGGCTATTGCGTTATAAAGAGAGTTGATTTTGAGTTAACCCAAACAAATTTAACTCATTTGTACGTTATAAAGAGTTTACACTGTATTTTATTTATTACTTTAGAAAAATGGCTGAATCAATTTAATTTCGATAAAACTGGGATTGTTCCTAAGTTGGAATGTATTGTATGAAGTTTGTTATTGATAGCACCCAAAAGTTAAGATACGAATTAGAATGTGGACCATAATTCCAGAGAAATTGGCGGACATACATGTACTTTAAAAATTCCCTTTCCCTTTTAAGTTGGTTTCTTTTGACGGTAAAAAGATATAGAATATGCACTACGGTAAAAGGTAATATAAATTATAAATTCTTTTGCAAAATAACGGGTACCTAAGGAAGTTTACGTTCTAAGGTCGATTTTAGTTAATGAAATTCAATGTCTAACGTAGTATGAGTATACCGAAATTAATTTGCGCTCTTAGTAATTTTCAAGTTTCAAAAAACGACGACCGTGTCGCTGCACTTGGGGAAGTGAACAAAAGACGGAATCAGGTTGTGTTGTTTGTGTCTGTGAAGTTAGCAGAGCACAAAAAAATTTATAGGGAATTATCACAACAATTGAAATGGTTGTTTTAATGAGACCTTATTTATCGAAATCGGTAAGAAATGCTCTGCTGTAATCGGGAAGCCGGCAGAGCAATATACGATTTAAAAAAAAAACTGGATTTAAAAGTCCAGAAATCTTTCTAAAAACTATCAGGAACTATAAAACTATTGAGTGTGCTGCCAGAATTCTCATTGTTTTGTGCTCTGCTAACTTCACAGACACTTGTTGTTCCAAGTAGGTTTCATTCTATAGAAGCTTGAAAGGTAGGCGACTGAACGGCGATGATCTATAGGTATATGTAGAATAAAGAGACGGTTCGCGCAAGTCTCGACTGTGGCTTGTACCCATTATGTGTGGATTAATTAAATTAGAATCACATACCAGTGTTAAGTTTAAACTCCACTGAAGAACCGAACCGTAACTTTTGCGCATTTGTATAGGTCGGGCCGGCTTTCTGATCACTATTTAATCCAGGGCCTGAAAATTCAACGAAAAGAACGGTTACCATGGTAACGTGACGTACGTATTCCACGGTTTATAATTTATTTAAAAACGCTAAGACAAAACGAAATCACTTTTGTTAAGATAATATAAATAATGTTTTTTAATTATATTAATAAAATATCTTACCGTTATCAGTGCGACCATTGTTGGATTCATACAGTGGTACGTGTTGACTGGTCGTTGAACTGCTTGACAGCGATTCTGTATAATTCATTTTTTATTTATTTATAAGTCATCTTACAGCTACACATATACATATTATAAAAGGAAACAAACATACATAGTTAAAAAAAATATACGAAACAGAAAACATTCAAAAAACATTTTTTTTAGCTAAATATATTTTATTCAAACATTTTTATGGTAATTTTTTTCATTTAATTCCCTAATTAAATAAGTCTAAACTAAGTATTTTGTCTCTCTCTGTCAAATCCTTTATGCTGTGCGGAAAAGAGACAGATGTAGTTATGTGTAAACATTTTTAGAAATAAAGTATGAGTATACAGGTCTTACCTCTTTGAGCGGCAAGGGTAGCTGGCGGATGGTCAGGCGTACGTGGCAGTCCAGCTCGTCCCACCAACATTGATATGAGAGATGGCCGGTGCTGTTGCTGCTTCTCTGTGAGATTACGCGGAAGAGCCTCAGATGCCCGTTTACCCCCACTCTGTCCTATACTTTCCGCTATTTGCTCTGAAATTGAAGGTGTTATTTGTACATCGATTAAAATATATATTGAAATATTTACCTATTTCATTTATTTATATACATACTAGCTGTACTCAACTACGCTTCGCTGTGGTTGACATTGTGATTGAATGGTTGAGAAATGAGAAACAAAACAAAGAATACATTTCATATAAGTTTAATTTTGCAATACTTGTGAAAAAAAAATTGATAAAAACAATCCTTGATGCGGATTATATTTCATGCTAAAATTTCAGTTCGATCGGTGCAGAACACTGAGTTTTTGACGCGTACACAAACCAACATAACATTTATATAATACTAGCAGACCGGCTAAGCGTTGCTGTGGCTAAGGTTTTTGTTATATTACATAGTAGTAAACTATTCAAGGGAAACGGTAGGAGATCACCAGTCATGGGGACCACCATGCTTTTTTGGTGGTTATGTCATTAAATTGTAGCTTATGTGAAACGTTGGTACTTTCAACGCAGCGCCATCTGTTAGAATTGTGACTATCAAATAATAAACAAATATTTTGCAATAAAATAATATTGCGGGTATAAATTGAGATGTAAGCTATCCTATTGGTCTAAGATCCCGCTATACAACGACCTTCACCGAGATGCTTATTTAATGAAACTTATTTTATATATAATTTAATATGTCAATAAATATAATCCATATGGGTTGCCTAGCAAATTTCAGTCCAGAGTATGTTTAATTAATTTAAAAAAAAAATATTTTTTTAAACCTTTCACCGGTATGATTATTAGATAAATTCTATACCAATC